ACATCACGATCCTCAACAATCCCCACAAGGGGCTCCCCCGTCTCAGCGGCATGAGTAGCACTGCTGATGTGACTATGGCTCTCCTCCTGAACACTAGGTGGAGGCGGTGGCGGTGGTGGTAAAGCCTGGCCTACAGCAGGACCAGCCCTCAACTCCTCCAACATGACTCTCATCATCGTCATGTTCGCCATCCTGTTCGCCTCAAGGACTTCCTCAGTGGTCCTCCGGTTCGCTTCACGAACCTCAGCTGCGGCTATCCGGTTCGCCTCGCGAACAGCTTCCATCATTGCCGTGTTGGCCACTCTAGTGGCCTCCTGATCGGCTAACCTAGCCACCTGAATCTCAGCCAATGCAGTCAGGATATGATCGGATTGATCCTCAGAAGTCTCTCGTGTTCTCCCGGACCTTACCATGACTCTGCACAAGTTACACAAATTATGAGTTGATCAGGTCCATGCAATGTGATCACATATACATCATCATAATAAAATTCGACGGAGTAAACACAAAGACAGACACAACCAAACAACCTAGCAATTGCAATACATACAGGCTTTTTCCTCGAACCATTGCTCTGATACCATAAATGTAACACCCCGTATATATATCCGGTAATGTTATCATAATATCGTATTAAGCTGCGCTTAATTAAAATGCGGAATTACTTTTTCTTTTCAATTATGATGTCATTAACATTACCAACTTGCTTAATAATCAATTAATAAAACATCGCCTGTATGTAATTGCAATAAAACAACTAACTGAAATACCTCATAACATAGATAATATAAGTGTGGCTCTAGTCACGGAACTACAACAATGTAGACCGGACCATCTAACAGTTTATACAACTCCAATCTAAAAGTACTAACATAAAGTGTCATGGACAATCCCCATGCTCACTCAAATAAGGCAACATGCCCAACATCAGTCTCAACAACAACATATCATAAATAGCGGAAAACATAAACAGCATCCCAAATCCAGTCATGCTAACATAAAGCAGTAAAACATAATCAGCTAAGCTTCGGCCTCCTGCCGCCTGAGGCATCAGTACCCATACTACCTGATCCTGAAATAAGCATTCCCCAAACGTGGGGTAAGATCTCTAATCTAGAAATCTCTAAGTCAGTGAGTCCTCAAGGATCTTCCACCCCAAGCTCACTTACATGTGCAATATAAGTTCAAAAGCAGTTTATCATTTCTAAAACAATGCAATGCAGCAGATAATCATGCCATGTGTGTCAATACTAATCTACTGGCCAGAGACAGTGCAGGTATACGTCTATCACCTCCACACCGTACAAGTACCACTTGCATTCACCTCGGTACACCATCTTGTATGGCGCTACATACTCAGGCTTCCCGTCAAGATGAAACAACACATGCATATTAAAAGCCATTACATGTAAAGTTCAATCAACATATCAAATATCCAAAAGCATGTACACAGCATGCATAAACCATATCCCCATGGGACATGGTGGAACCACAACATGGATAAACCGAGGACACGAAAGCTTACCTTGCAAGCTAACTCCAAAAGCCAAGAGTCCACAGCTCAAAGTCCAAACACAGCAGATTCACAATCTGTTATGGACCAACAATACATCAACAATATGCACTACAATCATACAAAATTAAGACAACGCCTTTTCATTACGTTTTCAAGTCTTAAAGCTTCTAACAAAGCCACAAGCCCTTAATCCCATGATTCTGGCTTAGTCCATTAAATACAGAAGTTCAACTTCATCAATCTAGGGTCCACAAACCCCCAATAGCCTACTGTACACACAGCACAGCTACTGTTCTACGAAATCCCAGAATATCCGGATATTCCTCGGGACCTTATCCGGATATGCATTATCCGGATATCTCACTGGACATATCCGGATATGCAATATCCGGATATCCAGAATCCCATATCCGGATATCTAGTATCCAGATATCCCAAAACCCCATATCCGAATACACATATCCGGATATCCCTTATCCGGATATTCCACGGGCCGATATCCGGATATTTCACGACAGAATACAGTTTCTGCATTTTCGTGAAGATATCCTTCCAAGGTTGGGTTTTTAACGATTTAAAGCACCTAAACATGCATTTCTAGGTGTGTTCAACATTAACCCACAACAAGTTATCATCTTTAAGCCTTAACATGCATCAAGCTTTCATTTTTAAGTTCAAAAACTCAAGACCAAAGGTGACAAGGCTTACCAAAACTCAACCAGCCAACAAGAGGTGCTCTTGGAGCTCAAAAGGTCACTCCAAGATTATGTCTCTCTCTGTACACGAAAATGGTATACCAAGGTGGTCCTTTTACTCAACAAGAAAGATCCTTTAAGCCTCAAAACCCAATGAGCAAGGAGGTACTCCACCCAAACCCCAACTCAGAGCACAAACAGCCCACAAACAGTGGCCAAACCTCAAACACAACACCCTCACACCCTCTCAAGATGTTTCCCAAGTGAAAGGATGAAGGAAAATCAAGAAAGATCAAGACTTGGTTCAAGAATGGAAGGAAAGGCCAATAGGGCAGTCACCAAGCAGCTGATCAGCTCCCCCTCACGTTGGTTTTCTGTTTTCTAGGGTTATGTGCTCTTAACAATGGGTATTTATAGCCACTTACCCAATTAACACACAGTATTAACTTTAATTGCTACGCTTAGCATTTTAATCCCAAACTTTGGATTATGAAACTATATAATTTTCTAAGATTTATGACATTTTTCTTATAATTTTCTGAGCACTTTTCCGGTACGCGCTTTTCCAAGTCAGTACCGGTTTTCAACACCAGTTCTCATTATCTGGACTTGAAACTCGTTTTACAAGTCCTACATGTTATTCTAGTAATTATCATGCACTTACATTACTTTTCCGGGATACTTTTTCGGCACGCATTTATACCGACTAGCAGAACCGGTATCTGCACCTTTCTTCCGAAAAGTGACTTTCAGCATTCTTAATCACTTATTACGATTACTAAGCCTCATAAATAATTATTAAGGTCAATTATGGAATCATTTCCTATTTTCTCGTAGTTTATTAATTAAATACCTTAATTTACGGTGCAGGTTCTTACACCTTCTTTCTGAGTGAAACCTCTAGCAACTAGACGTGCCTTATATCTTTCGATGTTGCCATTTGAATCCCTTTTGGTTTTAAATATCCATTAACAACCAATGGGTTTCGCACGTTTAGGCAACTCAATAAGATCCCAAACGTCGTTGTCTTTCATAGATTGCATCTCATCTTTCATGGCATCAACCCATTTATGAGCATTAGAGCTTTCTAAGACTTGTTGGAAGTTGATTAGATCATCTTCCTTCAAGCTTAAAATATTTTCATGCTCTAGAAGAAACACAATATAATCATCCGGAATTGCATTTCTCCTTTCTCTAGTGGATCTCCTTAATGGCACTTTTTGAGTTTGTTGAGTTTGTTCTATAGGTGACATAGGGGGTGATTCATTATTGTCTTGACCCAAAGCAATGTCAGGGACCAAAGCCTGTTCCATAACAATGTCATGAACAGGGACCTGATCATTAATTGCTTGTTCCGTAATTGCATCTTGAATGATGACAATATTAGGAAGAGAAATATTATTTTCTTCCTCATCAAAGACAACATTCCTTATTTTATCTTCCCCCCCAAACTCAACATCCTCAAGGAATCTGGCATTTTCGGTCTCCAAAAAGGATCTTGTAGTGGGATTATAAAACTTAAAGCCCCGAGAGCGTTCAACATATCCAACAAAGTAGCAGCTGATTGTTCTTGAGTCCAACTTTCTTTCATTTGGCCTATAAGGCCTTACTTCTGCTGGACAACCCCAAATGTGTAAATGCCTTATGCTAGGTTTCTTTCCATTCCATAGCTCATAAGGGGTTTTTGTCACTGCTTTGCTGGGAACCCTATTAAGGATATAAACTGCAGTCTTTAGTGCTTCTCCCCAAAGTGATTCTGGCAATGAAGAATGACTAAGCATACTCCTCACCATGTCTTTAAGAGTCCGGTTTCGCCTTTCCGCAACACCATTCATGCTAGGTTTACCTGGCATTGTGTATTGCGGGACGATTCCACACTCCTTTAGGAAGATCGCAAAGGGCCCTGGACGTTGTTTACCTGATCCATCAGATCTACCATAGTATTCACCACCACGATAAGATCTAATGGCCTTAATTTTCTTGCCTAACTGAAGTTCAACTTCAGCTTTAAATTCTTTGAACACATCCAATGATTGTGACTTCTCTCTAATCAAATATAGGTATCAAAATCTTGAATAGTCGTCTATGAATGTGATAAAGTATTGTTGACCATTCCAAGAGGCTATAGGAAATGGTCCACAAATATCCATATGAATCAATTCTAAGACGTCTGAAGCTCTGTTGGAACCTATTTTCCTTATGTTTGTCTGTTTCCCCTTTATGCATTCAATGCACACCTCAAAATCATCCAGATCAAGGGGTTCAAGAATTCCATCAGTCACAAGTCTCTGAATTCTCTGTTTAGAGATATTACCTAAACGCTTGTGCCACAGAACCAGTACCAACAAACTAAAGTGAGAGTCATACCCTTCCTTTCGCGCCATGCCTTGTATTTGGAACACTCTTTCTTCATGTGTCCAGATTTCTTACAAAAGAAGCAAGTGAATTCATGGTCCTGCTTCTTTTGCTTCTTTGGCAAAGCATCCGCATTATCCTTAACTCTATTTCTTTTCTTGTCTTGAGAGGTTGATGACAAGTGAGCACTGTCAGTCTTCTCTCGCTGTAACATCTCTTCCTCTTGCACGCATTGAGAAATGAGCTCATTAAGAGCCCATTTTTCCTTTTGAGTGTTATAACTCACCACAAATTGACCGTATTGTGCAGGAAGAGAGATAATAACTAAGTACATGAGCAACTCAGAGGGCAGCTCTAACTTTAATGCCTTTAGTTTTCCAGCAAGATTAGACATTTCCATAATGTACTCCCTTATGTTTCCCTTTCCTTTATACCTCATGTTTATGAGTTTGGACAAGGTTTGACCAATTTCAGCCTTTTCATTTTGAGCAAAGTATTGCTCGAGTTCCTTTAGAAACAACTTGGCATCAGTAGTCTCAACAATCGAGCCCCTAAACACCTCCAGAACGGAACGTTTAATGATCATCAGACACATGCGATTTGAGCGTTCCCACTTCTCAATTTTATCCGGGTTTGGATTTTCCTGAGTGGAAGTGGGTTTCTCAGTCCTTAGTGCATTGTCGAGATCCATGCAGTTGAGAACAATTTCCACATTCTCTTTCCACAGCTTGAAATTTGCCTCATTAAGCATTGGAAGCATATTCATTTGAGCAACATAATTGGCAGCGGTAGCAGAAACTATACAGAGAACAAAAAAGATAACATACTAATAACATGTCATATCATATATATACATACACGATATAGACAAATAATCCGAAGTAAAATGAGTTTATTATAAGATACCTAGCACAACATTAATATTTAGTCTGTGGACAAAAATATCAACTTGTAAGTGGTACTCTTAATGTAGTAATCAAACATTGACAATAAGTCTTGTCAAATCATAGCCTTCCTGTGGGCCGACTATGAATTACATGGAGAATTCTTGATAATTGTCACATATTTATTACCACAGGTATGTTTGTTACTTGGCCAAATAATAACCTTCCTGTGGGCCGATCACTATCCGTATAAGCAATAAACACACACATGATCACACAACATATATTATTTGGCCAAACAATAACCTTCCTGTGGGCCGATTATTATTTGCATAAATAAAATATATTTATATGACCAACCTATTTGAAATCAAATTAACCTTTATAAATTTGGCCACTGTGGCGGCTAACAAATCTATCATATTTAATTTCAAATAGAAACCTTTAGGGATAATAAACCCATTTAAAAACAAAATAACAACAATAAAGAAAATTATTCTTTATCAATCCTCGGCTTTTTGACCCTTTTGCCCCTAATTAAATAATTAATAACCAATTTGCCCCTCCCCCAGAACTATCCACCATCCTGCCCTCATTTAGTCGATTAAGTTGCACTTTTAATCGACTAAATGGGCTAAACTCAGAAATTATGAAACGCGAATTTTAGTCGACTAAAAACTCACCTTAATCGACTAAATTGTTTGCACTTTTAGTCGACTAAGATCATTATTTAGTCGACTAAATGTCGCAGATCAGGTTTTTTAAAAAAAACCCCATTTCGCAAAGGGGGTTATTTTCAAACCCTAATCGACTAAATCGCTCCATTCCGTCCCCTCTCTCCAACCAAGTCCGAATCTCAACCCTTGAAGGTGCGATTGAAGCTTCCTTGGTTCACACTTGCGAAATCGACATTTAGGTAACGTATTCTGACTTGCATTTGGTTTTAAGTTTAGTTTTTTATTTGGTTTTCTCCATGCATTTGATTTCTGTTTGCGGTTTTGTGGATTTAGGTTAGGGGTAGGGTGCTAAGTTTGTTGTGAGGGTGAGGGTTAGGGTTGATGTGGTGCCTGAGGCTTAGGGTTAGGGTTATGTTAGGGGTAGGGTTAGGGTTAGGGTTAGGGTTAGTGTGTATGTTGTTGTTTTGTTTGGGTTGTAGTGTTTAGGGTTTAGGAATGGGTTTTTGTGTTCTGTTTTAGGGTTAAGGTTAGGGTTAGGGTTTAGGGTTAGGGTTTCTGTTTCTGTTTTAGGGTTAGGGATAGGGTTTCTGATTTCTGTTTTATTTTAGGATTAGGTTTTGTTTTTTATATTGAATTTTAAATTTTTTGATATTGTTATTGTTCATTGATTTTTGTTTCCACTTGCATTGTAGGTACAGTTGTTCCCATGGCTGGCCGTAGAAGATCGTCTAGCACTGGAAATGAGAGACGACAGAAGCTACGTCAAGACCGTCCGTCTTCGTCAAGGCCACAAGAGGAAGACCCCGCTACTGTCGACCTCCCATTCGGATACTTGTTCGAGAATGACCCGGTGGTCCATGAATCTTTTGTCCGTGACTTTGTTAACCGACCGATTTGTGGGGCCAAATCACTTGATACAGCCTTTTTTGAACAAGAAGGTTTTAACATTGTGAGGTGGTTGGAGGAATCACATCTTAGGATCTTGGCTGAACTGTCGTGTTCATATTCTGAGCTGCATGTACGAGCCTTCACTTTTTGCCACCACAGCAGTACGATGAGACTTCATACAATATAATTTGGCAGCATGTTGCATTTCAGATTTAGTTCGAAACTCCTGGTACAAATATAATGGATCTCCTAAATGCCAGCCACCGTGGATGTCATCGTCGCCATACAATATCTCTGTCTCATCATTAGGGTGAGCCCAATTAATGAACGAATAGTGTGGGCTGTCGTTCCAAAATGGCTCAATCTCAGACCCTACGTCCAAATTTAAACTTATCCGTCAGTACGAAAGAAAACACAAATATATATATATGCAAAATTAAAACTCAGAAATTACAATCTTACCACTGCTAACAGGGTCAACACGGAGCGGTGGCATAACCTGGGAACTCAAGTTTCCTGAACTAGTATCAGCGTCAAAATTCCCCTCTACGTCCGTATCTGAGGTGTCACCCAGCGGAATAACACTCTCGGGTTCACCATCGTCTTCACTGTCCATATCCTCGTCATGCCCATCCTCATCCTCGTCTATTTCCCTCAGTGGTATCTGACTTAAGACAGGTGCAGGTGCAGATAAACCGACCACTCTGTCTTCTTGACTTTGACTTCTTCCATGCACAGGTGCAGATGAAGATTGACCACAGTCTATTTCAACATATATCTCAATAAAGTTTTGAAATTTTCGGTCCACAATTGCATCTATGACACAGTCCACATCTTCATCGTCACATATATCATTACCAATGTAGAATGTAGCATCCTTACCAACTGTAGACTCTACCCTGGCGATCATCCGTTGAACGCCATGGCTGCCGTGTAGCCCCAATTTTTGGTTAATCCCCCCCTTCAGCTCATTGTACGTAGTGCCCCGTTTGATTTTCAACATTTTCGTTTTTCCTTCAAATTGAACACCGTTGGGGCCTTCATAATACTTTCCATCATAGTAAATCATGGTAACATACATGTTTGGACTTGAGCTCATCTTTCACACGAATTTTGGGGGTAGGAATCAGATTATAGGGGTTAGGGTTCGGATTTGGGGGAAACAATTGAGAAATAAAGGAAAATGACAATGATTTCACAATTACTATGCCTTAGAGGTGGTGGGATGAAATGGAAGGGTGATTGGAAGGTTCACAGCTGACAAACAAGAGAAATAGACCAAGAGAGGAGTTTTGATTTCGAATATAATGAAAATGAGGCCAAGAGAGGTCTGGATATAGGGTTTTTCGCGACATCTAGTCGACTAAATAATGCTCTTAGTCGACTAAAAGTGCAAACAATTTAGTCGATTAAGGTGAGTTTTTAGTCGACTAAAATTCGCGTTTCATAATTTCTGAGTTTAGCCCATTTAGTCGATTAAAAGTGCAACTTAATCGACTAAATGGGGGCAGGATGGTGGATAGTTCTGGGGGAGGGGCAAATTGGTTATTAATTATTTAATTAGGGGCAAAAGGGTCAAAAAGCCATCAATCCTCAATGTATATACATACATACTATATCATTATACCATTAACAATAAATACCTTTTTCATTATAAGGCTTAAAAATTGATGCACAAACAACGCACATGTAAGCTTTTTCAAATGAAAGCTTGAAAATGATGCATACAATAAATACCTTTTCATTATAAGGCTTAAAAATTAATGCACAATTGACGCACATGTAAGCCTTTTCAAATGAAAACTTGAAAATTATGCATAATACCCACACACAAAAAATTATATTTAGCTTTTAACAAAGAATATCAAATATAAGGAAAACCCCAAAACCAAAGACCTTAAACATTTGATTTCTTTCAAATCTTAAGTCCAAAATTTTCTAAGAGAATTCATTGTTTATTCAAAAAATTCAAACAACAAAACCTCATCGATTATAAAGCCAAAATTCTTCCAAACATTCAATCTATTCACAGATTCAAAATTTAAATAACAAACCCTTATTAAACTGTGAATCCTAGTTTTTTCTAAAAAATGTAGCTTTTGTTCCAAAACCAAAAAATCACCGTCAGGGAACAAAAATAACACTACATAGCTAATACAAAATACATAAGATGGAACTTACGTTCAAAAAATAATAAACTTTATGCCAAAAGACAATAAAACAAAACTTTTCACGATTCATCATATATAAAAATCACAAAACTTAATTCCCTCATGATTCAATAAGATTATGGCTCTGATACCAATTGTTGGAATTTTTAATTCCTCTAAACTTTATGATGATAACTATCACCTACAAGCCAAGATCCATCATACCAAATCATAAAGAAAAATAAGAACAACATAAAGGTGGAGGCATACCTGTCTCCATTGCAGCGAAATAACTTTGATCTTGTCTCTCTGGGGTTTGTAGTCTTCCTCAGTCAAATCACCCTAAAATCGAATTCCTTAGTGTGCCGTCTCTCTCTTGATGGGGAAGAGTAACTAGGGTTGTTCTTTGACGTATTGGGGACCATAACCCTTTATAGTGTTTTTATCTTTATTGTTGGGCCAATAAGCTCCCATTATACCTAGTTGGCCCAACACCGGTATCCACTCATTCAGCCCATACTCACTTAGGAATCTATTTGGGAATATTTACTTGATCACTTTAATTTACCCAATATATATAAATAGCACAATATAATTATTAATATAATATGTGACCCACAATCATTATTAGAAAAAATAATTTTCTAACACAATAAACCTATATATATATATATATATATATATATATATATATATATATATATATATATATAAAGGAAGGATCCGTTTACAAACTTTTTTTTAACAAATTAGATTAAGTATGACCGGTTATACACTCTTGATTGAAGTATGACCGATCATACTTAGTGTAGTTTGTAAATAAAAAATTTGTTTTTTCCTATATATATATGTGTGTGTGTGTGTGTGTGTGTGTGTAATATATGTATATATATAAGAAAAAGTATTTCTACAGCCACTTTAGATAACATTATTTACAGCTATTCCTTTTTAACTAAGTCTGACTAGTAAGACATAGTTATAACAATAAAGTTATTCGTTTTCTCTCTCTCCTCAGACATTGTCGGCTTACGTGACGGAGAGAGAAAATATAATTTTTATATCTTACTGGTCAGACTTAGTTAAAAAGGGTAGCTACAGACAACCTTATCTAAAGTGGCTATAGAAATGTTTAACCTATATATATATATATATATATATATATATATATATATATATATATATATATATATATATTGGATAAGATGCTTTGACACCGTCTCAAATTTTAAAATTTGACACCAAATCCTAACTGTTGATTTTCGCTAATCAACGGTTATAATTTCGGCCAACGGTTAATTATTAATTAATTAATTTGACACCAAGTATATTAATTAATTATTAATTTTCAATAAATGATAACCGTTGATGGGAGGAAATCAACGGTTAGGTTTGGTGTCAAATTCGATGTCAAAGGATCCTATATATATATATATATATATATATATATATATATATATATATATATATAGGGAAAAATAATTTTTCGACAACTTGAGATAAGTTTATCTCCGGCCACCAAAAAACTACTTCATTTTATTTATTTATTTTCTTATGTTAATTGATTTACCTTTGAATGGTTATGATTCACTTTTTCTCTCTCTTCCTTTATCACCATTGATCCATCTTTGTGCGGTTAAGATTTAGTAGCCGGAAATAAAATTATCTCAAGCAGTTTGAGAAATGATAAACCCATATATATATATATATATATATATATATATATATATATATATATATGACAAATAAATGACTCCAGTGATCCTTATAAATATTATTGAGTTATACTAATTAAGTAATTATTAATTTCAAATAAATAACAATCATTAAATGGGCAAAATTTGACAACTGAGATGAGGAATAAGACTTCAAAAGATTATATATATATATATATATAAGAATTAAGTAATTATCAATTTAATTTGGATACCACTTGCACACACGTGATTGTTACAATTAGATGTGCAGATGTGTGTTGTATGTGAAATGTCTCATTCAGGTAAATCTAAATCTATACTAATTTGAGGTAGTGGCGTCAAATGATTTGTGAGAAAACATTTCTTTAAATAACAACCACATTTATGTACTTCTGCAGATGGTTAATGATAAGAAAAATCATAATAATAACAATAGATATAGACCTTGGAGTGAACAAATTACTTGGTCCAAAACGGTAGGTATGCTTGAATGGTGTGTAGGTGCTTTGTGACCGAGGGAGATAAGAATGACTAATTCATCAGATTCAAAAGAATTATATACATACATAAAAAAAATAAAACCCGCAGTTATAGCAACTTATAACGGTTGTTGTTTCATCATTATACTTCTTTTTTCTTTATCTGGTTGGAGCCATAAAGTTGAACCTGTCATTTATTGGAGGCAATTAAATTTGTATTGTAGTCTATGCCTATATAGTGTCCTTAGAATAAGAATATATAGATCTCCAAAAAAAAAGAGAAAAGAATAAGCAATATATATATATATATATATATATATATATATATATATATATATATATATATATATATATATAAAATTTTCTCCACACTTTATAGATTACTTAATTAATCCGATTGAATCGGAGCAAGACTACAAGAGCGATTAAATTTTTTCTATTAAAATTTTAAGTATATTTAGGAGTCAAACTCAATATTCCTAATTAAGTTAAAATAATTTCATATCAATTGATCCACGTATTTGGTGATTTATAATAACATTTCAATTTCTTGTAAACAAGGTTACTCATTTTTTTTTCTGAATTTAAATCTCTTAAACTAAAGAGAAAATTGCGACTTAAGAAATCTTATAAGCATGACTCAATTTTAAAAACTTAATCAAAGTCGGAATATGATTAAAAATTCAAATGTTCAAATAAAAATTAAATCAAAAGTAACCACACACATCAACCATAAATCCTGAATTTAGTTAACTTATTCCTTAATTGAAAATTTGTACACCAGCATTTCTTAAATTAAACATTCTCATTATACTAATAACCAAATTAATGAACTTAGTAATCACCATGTCAAGATCTGATCTGGCTATAGTACTATTATATTTTTCATTAAGAGATTTATGCATACAACATTTGAAGAAATAGTAATCAAAGGCCTGAAGATGAGAATGAAAATAAGTGACAAAAATCATATGACAAACTCTGCTGTATGAGCATTCCATTTAAGTCATGTACTGGATACATGTTCAATCCCAATTTGTTTCCCAACCAATCCTTTATGGGCAATATTTTATCCCCATACCTATCCCTTGTTCTCAGTTAACCTCTTCAAATAATTCTGTACATGAATGAAAATTGAGTGAAAGATGAGAAGGTTAAAAACTAAAACTATGATTTCATACACTTGTTGGGTATGAAGCAAGCAAATTGCTTGGTATGCAAGGAGAATTCCTCCAAGACCGAGCATGCAATTTGAGAATCTCTCTTGCTTTCTCCTTGGCCTTGCTTCCACTATCAACTTGAAGGACCAAACAAAGTTTTGCCACCACACCAAGTTGCAGCATTTCTTGAACAACACTTGGTGTTGCAGAGAACCTTGATATGGACAATAGAATCTTCACAGCCCTATCATTTGCCATTGTAGAAACCCTCAGAATCTTCTTTGACACAATGGCTAACCCTGCACCATGGCTCAAAAGTTCAGCTCTTCCATCTGCACACTGGCACAAAGTCTCCAAGAGCACTAGCATCATCTCACAAGGCTTTCTTTCCTTACAATCAAGAAGAAGTTCAATCAAAACTGGAATTGCTCCTGCTTCCACTGCTTTGATCCTGTTTCTCCCCCAAGGACTGAGTTGAATCAGTGTTTGTAGTGTAGCTTTTGATGCCTTATGGGAAATCTGGTCTTTAAGGACATGTACTAATGCAATGAACAACTCATTTCTTAGATTAACTATGTCAACAGAATTAGCCACTTCAGACATAGATTTCATCAATAAAACTGCATAAGCTTGTGAGTCATAGATTCCCCTTTGCATGACCCTTGTTAAGGAGTTCATGAATTCTCCATCTTTGAAGCCTAAAAGGGTCTTCAACCCAGTTTCTGATAAATTTAGACTATGGAGGATGCATAAAGCATCATCACCTGCGCTTGTTTTCAAGTCAAACACATCATCATCATCATCTAGGCAAGACTCTAATTCTTTGATGTTGTTGATTACCAATGATGCTAAGAAATGAACAGCACCAGAGGATTCGATGCAGCGTCTATTTGTTTCACTCTCAGAAGCAATGGATTTGAGGCTTCTTAAGCATTGGATCTGCAACTGAGGCTTGTCAGAAGCATCTTTGAGGAGTTTTTCTATGGTGTTTTTGTTGACTGGAGGTTTGGGAGTTGGAATCCTTTGAATGCCGTGAGAAGAGTTCATTGTACACCATGCTTGAATCAATCTACGAAGGGTGTGATTTGGGGTGAGATCAGTGCAATCTGAGAGCAGAGGAAGAGGTAGGTTTGTGACAGGACATGTCTTGTTTTTCTCAGAAAAGAGCCATTTCTCAATGCTCTCTCTGTCGTAGGTTATCCCTGTGGAAACTGTCACTGGATCCTTCATGATTTCTAACGAAATGGGGCAGAGAAAGAAAGGAGGAACATCAATCTCGTTATCCATGTTTATGATAAGAGATTCAAGAACAACCCTGAAGGTGAAGAAACTTTTTTTGGACTTTGAAATACTTTGGCGCAGTTCAGTTTTGATTTAAGAGAGAATGAGATGCGAGTCTTCTTATTTATAGCATGATATCTCTGTGTTCAAAGTGTGGGAAAGTCAAAACACGGAAAAAAATTGAGAGGGTAATGACTTTTCCAAAGGATCACCATGAGAAGGGCTCCATAATGACCAACTTTACCTGGTCATGAACATTAACTTGATCTAGACATAACTAGGTTTAATTTTCATATAGTTCTAGTACATTTTATGTCAATATTGCATAAAAAAAAAGTGTCATGTTAGATTAACAATTATTTAATTATTCAAGTGGTGAAAACTATGTTCATGATTTTATGTTAAAATTTTATAATTTATATTTTTTTCCTGGTAATTATGTCTTTTTAAGATTTATTTATAACAAGTCTAAGGAAATTTTAACTGTTTTTAAGTAAATATAACATTACTCGTAAAAATATTATACATTTATCAAAATTAAATCCAAACAAGAAATAGATGGGGCTTGAAAGGAATCAATAATGTCACATTGTATATATGGGATTGTTTATTAGGGACTCAGATATTATTATAGTATATTATTTACCCCTTTTGACTTTCTCTTTAGAGTGCTTTGTTGGTTTCTCTCTCTATCTCCCCTCCCTCCAACTCATGCAAGCTTCTGATAATATTAAAAGTTTGGGGTTGACTAATGGCCGACATGAGAAAAAGAGAGAGAAAAGATTGTGGATCCAATGCAAAGGAAAGAAGCAAAAGTGGAATTTTCAATGTGTTCAGAATTGAGATTGCGATTGCGATTAAATTAAATGGATCAACAAAAAAGATAAAAAAAGACTGAAGTTTTATTGAGTGATGGAAGTGGCGGTCTTCTTCAATGTTCAATGTTTGTCTTATGTACACGTTATTAAGATGGGAAATATTTTTTTCATAAAAAATAATTTTTTCATGCTACACTTATAATACATAAGTAGATCTCATCTTGACTTTTTTGTCTTCTTACTTTTTTGTGGACCCCACTCATATTTTATGAGTATAGCATGAAAAAATTTTCTCAATGAATACATAAGGGTCTCTATTTATAGAGACTTCTTGACCAAATTTTGACCTAATGGGCTTGGCCCAATATACAAGTAACGGACTAAATAAATACAAATAAATGACTACATAATTACTATTTAATACAAATAAATGACTACATAATTACTAATAAATGACTACATAATTACTATTTACAACAGATGGCCTCTCACATTGTGAACAATGTTGGGAACTCAGCTTGGTTTAAGTCTCCCCTAGAAGGTTGCAGAAGTTTGCTGCTGAATGATAGTCTTGACATTGTTGTGCCCAAGATGTTGCATGGTTAGGTTTTTGTCTTGTTTCTTTCTTTGTTTTAAGTTTCCTTTATTCTCCAAAAAAAAAGTTGGTAACCTGTGTGAAACTAATTTATTTTTATATTGCAAAGTTGCTCATAATTTCCATCCTTCCATCGCAGCTTCAGAAACCACAAAGGCAAGAAAATCAACACCTTGCATGTTCAAATTATCAATCTCATTCATGGAATCAAGTTTGTAATTTAGACTTGTTATTTTGATAACTGATACTTCCTAAGGAGATCTATCTTGTATGTTTGATTGTCAATTTCACTCATTTTCTATGTTATTTTCATGACTTAGGTTCATTTCTGAATTTAGGAGCAATTTCTTTTAATTGGGCCATGAGCATTTAGCCGATTAGGGATCTAGGGCGTGACTGGGCATAAATAACATTATTTCTTTATTAGTTGGGCTTAATGAGCTGTTTGTGTTTCAAGGTACCCAGGATCCAAAAGAAGAAAACCCAATGAAGCTCAATGCAAGGAAAATTGGAGGGAAAAAGAGAAAAAGCTAAAAAGTGAAATAGGAGACAAAATCAAAATAAATTAAAAAAACAGAAGAAAGATAAAGAAAGACATTATGCTCCATTTGTAAAAAAAAACCCAATGAAGCATCATCTTGCACGGTTCCTGATTGATAATCAATAGGGGTGTTCAAAATATTTGAAAGATCCACACCGAACTATAACTGAATCGCTCCATTTGTAAAAAACCGATTTTATGTTAAACCACTTTTTATTTTTTAAAACAACTCAGTTACCAATCCGTATAAGAAAATTGGATATCCACATTTTATCTTTTTGAACTATTTTTACTTGATCTGAATTTTTTATTTTTATTTTTAGGTTACAGAAAATAGAACATACAACCACACACTTACACACACCCTATTACACATACCCACACCCCTAGCCACTAGGCTAGTCCTGGTGGATCAGATCTGAAGTTTTGTTTCATCTTTGTTTTAGAATCTCAAGTATTATTTTAACATAATAGTTGAACTTGATGCCACCGCCACTTCACTCAACGTCACCGCAAAACCCTCCACCGAGTGGTGACACATCGTGTCACCTACTAAGCCATGTTATGCCAAATCCATATGTCTCACATAACTCCGCCAATTTCAAACCAACATCGTCCGGTCGTCACAGTCCGATTCCGGTGAGGCAAAATTAAAGAAGTGCATGTACAAAGTAAAATTAAAGAAGATATCAATAAAATATTTTTACTGTTTTTACTTGAAAATCAGTTTTGATCTCAATTTGGATATAATTTAAAATCGGTACGAAATTTATTTTAAATTAAAACAGGTAATAATCTAAAAATTGGTTTTGAAACCGATTTGAAAAAATTCAAACCGATTTTATAAAAAATATATATATATACTGGTTTGATTTGGTTTAAAAATCAAACCGTTAAAAATGATTTGGTTCGGTTTTTATTAAAATCCAAACTAAATTGCTCCACGCACACCTCTAATCATCAAGTTGTTCTTTTCATACCATTCTTTTTACATTAAATTTCTTATATTGATCTACGTACTTTTATTATACAGTTAAAAATTTAGGAGGAAGAATTTTTTTCACCGTTCTTGTGTCCTACTCGATTTAATCGAATTAATTGAATAATTGATCAATACTGGAGGAATTTTATTTTTTATTTTATTAATTGGCACTAAATTGCTTTAGGTGTTTAAATTTGATAGGGACTATAGCTTGGTGTATGAATTTGCATAGTTATATATATGGTGCTACTATGGAATTCATTTCTAGAACAATTCAATTTATGAAGAAAATGAAAACTTTATTCATTCCCAACGATACTTACTAACTCTTATTGAAAAGTTCGAGTAGAATTAATCTTTGCAATATTTCTTGCTGAACTAGGCTGAAGTGCATATCACGACTTATAATCATTCCTAACAATGACTCTTTCCCGCCAAAAGAATTTTTTTTATTATAAAAAAACAGCTCTTTCGTAAGGTTAATAAATTCAGAACATTTCAAATCATACAGCACATAAATATATAATCTATCTGCTTACGCAGCAGTTGCCGGCACATCATTGTTGCCATTGTGCATATGTATGTGAGTTTTTTATGTCAAACTGGCACAAATCAAAAATATCTACAACTTTGAGGAATATATATGTTGTGACTTCAAATGATGTGCAATAAACAATTTTGGTTATATACTAAGGGACTAATGTATGTTGGGCGTAGTTTTATCTTTTACACATATCTAAAAGTGTGTGAGATCTATATATGGCCATGTGAAAATAAGAGTGATATATATATATATATATATATATATATATATATATATATATATATAGGATTTGGTGTTTGTCATTTTAAATGACATAAATTATGTCATTTTAGGAGAGAGATAGACACAGAAAAACAGAAATCATGGGAGAGAGAAAGTGAGTGATTTTTTTTAATTTAAAATTTAAATAAAAAAAATTTTATGTGTCTGTCTCTCTCTTAAAATGACATAACCTTATGTCATTTAAAATGACAAACACTTTTCTCATATATATATATATATATATATATATATATATATATATATATATATATTCCAAAAAATATAGGGGAATATTATATTTATAAATTTTTTGTTTACAAACTACACTATGTCTTACCGGTCATACACTAATTAAAAATGTATGACCGATCATACTTAGTGTAATTTGTAAAAAAAATTTGTAAATGGATCATTCTCAAAAAAATATATAGTGCAATGCTCTCCTAATTATGATAAGTAGACCATGGACACCCATAACTCAATTAACCATGATAGTAACGGTCCAGATATGTATATCATAATCTAGTGAACGGTTGAGATGACTTAGGAATGATAGGACAGATGTGAACACATTTTTATGTATGTGTAAAAGATAAAATGATCTCCTATAACATAAGAAATATTAATTTAGTACACTAAATATATAAACGCACAAATAGGAATGTTAGTAATACATTCTTTTGACATATTCGTAACACACTACTATTTGGTGAGTCTGAGCTTACTTAGTAGAAATCATATAAAATTTGTTTAATAATAATAAATTTTTTTATTAAAAATAGGTGTCAAAGAGTGTGTTGCTACTTGCTAGCATTTTTCTTTTTTTGGTACACTCATAGTTGAAGAAGTTAATTAAGCAACAAACTGCTTTAGGTGTTAAATTTTACAGGAACTGTCTCGTTCCATGAGTTTGCTGAGTCAGTCATGTTATGCTACTATTGAATTAATTTTCTAGAAGTGCATATCGAATTTTAGGAACATGAAATTTTCATTCATTGAAGAAATTCCAACGAGACCTACTAACTCTTCATTAAAACTCTCAAGTAGAATAAATCTTTGCAATTCTTGCTGAACTAGTCTCAAGTACGTATCAAAACTTATAATCATTCCTAATAATGACTCTTTCTCATTGAAAGAATTAATAAAAGCAGCTATGTACTTGTGAGGTTATTTACTTAAATAAGAAGCAAAGTTATCACTTAAATAAGTAGTTATCTATATATATATATATATGGGGAAAAATGTTTCTGCAGTTAATGCAGATAACT